GGGGTAGAAGGCTGCCACCAGCCAAGGGTCTGGCCCCCAATCCAAGTTCTTCTCACTACCTAGGGTGCCGGGAAGGCCACGTGGACCTGGTTCTGCTCGTTGATGGCTCCAAGAGCGTGCGCCCGCAGAACTTCGAGCTGGTGAAGCGCTTTGTGAACCAGATCGTGGACTTCCTGGACGTGTCCCCCGAGGGCACGCGCGTGGGGCTGGTGCAGTTCTCCAGCCGCGTGCGCACCGAGTTCCCGCTGGGCCGCTACGGCACCGCGGCCGAGGTCAAGCAGGCGGTCCTGGCCGTGGAGTACATGGAGCGCGGTACCATGACAGGGCTGGCGCTGCGCCACATGGTGGAGCACAGCTTCTCCGAGGCGCAGGGCGCACGGCCCCGCGCCCTCAACGTGCCTCGCGTGGGCCTGGTGTTCACAGACGGCCGCTCCCAGGATGACATCTCGGTGTGGGCGGCGCGTGCCAAGGAGGAAGGTGGGCTTGGCGCGGGACGCACTGGGCTGGGGTTGGGTGGGACGCGGAAGGGGTCCTTCCTGAGGCCTGGGGCACCCGCTGCGTCGTCCTGCCCTACAGGCATCGTCATGTACGCCGTGGGCGTGGGCAAGGCTGTGGAGGAGGAGCTGCGCCAGATCGCCTCCGAGCCTGCCGAGCTGCACGTGTCCTACTCCCCCGACTTCGGCTCCATGACGCACCTGCTGGAGAACCTCAGAGGCAGCATCTGCCCTGGTGAGCACATCTGACTCGGGACCCGTCCCCTCCAGCCAGTGCCCCGCCTCGGATCTTGCCCCTTCCTATGCAACGCCGTCCTGGATAGAGTTATAACCCGGCGACGGACCCACTAGACAGAGCCTTGTTACTCAAAGTGTGGTCCGCGGACCAGTGGCAGGGCTGTCGCCTGGTGGCTTGTTAGAGCGCAGCATTTCCACAGCTGCCCAGGCCTAATGAATCCGATTTTGTCCTTTAACAAGACCCTCGGGTGATTCCCAAGGACGTGGAAGTTAAAGAGCTCTAGACTAGGCTGGCTCCTGCCCCTCAGATTAGCGGGTGCTCAGAGTAATTTATTTCCCAAAGGCATGCCAAACTCCTTGTTCGCGGAGTGACATCATAAATCCCTTTAACTTGTTGGAATTCAACTATACAGACCTGGCAAAGTGGCAGGAATGAGAGTGTTCCAAGGACACAAAAACGTGTGCTTTTTGGACACTATAGCCTCCCAATTCAGTTCATCTACTTCATCTGGTGTGCAGTTGAGGAATAACGGCCCAGTCTATCTGTGGAGGAGAAGAGGGCTGTTGACCCTTGTGTCCTGTACTTTGTAGGTCGTGTAGGGAACTTCTCGGGGGGAATTTTTACCATGGAGTCTTTGCATTCCAACCCAGAGATGTGGCTTTTCTTTCCCGTTACCGGGCCCCTCCACAGCTAGGTTCGGTAGAGCTGGGCTGGCCTGCGGAGTCTGCAGTTTTGAGAAAGAGTTTAAAAATATATGTACATAAACATAGGTGTGTGCATACATACATGTACATACATGAATATGTATACACGCGTGTGTATGTGTATACACACACACCCCTACCTCTCTCTCTGTCCCTCTCCCTCTCTCCACCCTAATCTAACAATTAGCTAGGGTATTGTGGAGGCACCGGAATAGATGCTCTTTCATGGCCCTCCTGTCCTGACTCGTATGTCCCCCGCAGTGTGTCTTTGAGCAAGTCACTTAACCTCCACCCCTACCTTAACTTCTCTCTTCTGTAACAGGGGAAGGTGCTGGCTGCCCAAGCTTGCTTCCAGCTCTAAAATTCTTTTTTAAAATGTTTATTTATTTTTGAGAGAGAGAGAGAGAGCAAGCAGAGGAGGAGCACAGAGAGAGGGAGACACACAATCCGAAGCAGGCTCCAGGCTCCGAGTTGTGAGCACAGAGCCCGATGCGGGGCTCAAACCTATGGACTGCGAGATCATGACCTGAGCCAAAGTCAGCCGCTTAACTGACTGAGCCACCCAGGTGCGCCTCCAGCTCTAAAATTCTAAGAGAAATCTGGGCTCTGTGGTTGAAGCTCTTCACCAATTGGCTGTACAACTTTGAGCAGATCTTTCTCCCTCTCTGGCCCTTGGTTTCCCCAGCTGTGAAGTTAGGAGTCTTTGCAGGACTGTTATCAGTCCCATTGATGACATGACATACAGCAGTTCACTAAGGGTCCAACAAGACTAAGAAATCACTCTTCAGTCATAAAAGCAATTCTTTTGTGAAGGCCACGCACCAGGCACCGTGCTGTAATATTAAAAAGGGCACATGTTTACAAAATTTCAGTGAATCTAAGACCATCCATTGTAAGATTCCCCATTTTATATACTTCTGAGAAAAAACAGGTGCCAAATTTAATCGTAAGACATGTATTTTGATTTCAGAAATGTTGAAATGTGCGTGGAGATAGACTTGGGTCAGTGGGTTTTAAAATTTTTTTTAATGTTTATTTTATTTTTGAGAGAGAGGGAGAGAGGGAGAGAAAGGGGGGGAGGGGCAACAAGAGAGGGAGACAGAATCCAAAGCAGGCTCCAGGTTCTGAGCTGTCAGCACAGAACTGGACGCGGGGCTCCAACTCACAGACTGTGAGATCATGACCTGAGCCGAAGTCAGATGCTTAACCGACTGAGCCACCCAGGTGCCCCATGGATCAGTGTTTTTGTTTGGTTGTTTGTTTTGTTTGTTTATTTTTTGATCAGTGGTTTTTAAACATCAGTGTGTGACAGATTCACCTTGAGGGTTTGTTAAAACACAAATTGTTGGGCTCGAACCCCAGAGTTTCTGATTTAGTAGGTCTGAGGGAGTCTGATAGTTTGCATTTCTTTTTTTTTTTTTTTAACATTTATTTACTTAGAGAGAGAGAGAGCAAGCAGGAGAGGGGCAGAGAGAAAGGCAGAGAGAGAATCCCAAGCAAGCTCCTCAGTATGGAGCCTGAAGCGGAGCTCGAACGCATGAACCCTGATACCATGACCTGAGTCGAAATCAAGAGTTGGACGCATACTGGCCACCCAGGGACTCCTGATAATTTGCATTTCTAATAACTTCCTAGGTGCTAACTGATGGTGGTGGTCCAAGGACCACACTTTAAGAACTACTAGTCTAATTGAAACATACAAAGTGTATACTTAAGCTGGGCAGTGTTCTAGATATTCCCTCTCTAATAAAATAGTCACTAGCCACATGAGTCCACTTAATTGACATTACTTTAAAAAGTTAGAATTTTTAGTTCTTCAATCACACTAGCCACATTTCCAATGTTAAATAGCTGCACGTGGCTCGTGGCTACAGCACTGGACGGAGTGCAAACAGAATACTTCCATCGCTGCATGAAGTTTCATTTGGAGAGCGCTGCCGTGTGGACTCTTGCTACTCAAAGTGTGGTCCGTGGACCAGCAGCATAGGCATCGTTCGGTCTTAGAAGCATGGAGTCTCCTCTCTCCTTTGCCATTCCAAATCAGAATCTGTATTTTAACAAGATCTGGTGATTCCAATGAGCATTAAAGCTTGAAAAGCACTGTTCTAAGATGTACGCACACACGCACACACACCGTAGAATCCTCAGCACCACCCAATGAATAGATTTTCTCCTTGTATCCGTTTTTTACAGACAAGGAAACTCAGGCTTAGAAAGGTTGGGTGAGTTTTCCAGTATCTCACAGCTACCTAGCTGGTATTCATCCCAGGCCTGTTTGAATCCAAAGCCCACATACTCAGCCACAGGCGAGCGGAGCCGCCAGGGCCGGCTCGTCTTCCTGCAGATTCTCATTCCCCTGACTCTCTGTGCCCGGCTGGCAGAGGAGGGCATCGGCGCGGGTACAGAGCTTCGGAGCCCGTGCGAATGCGAAAGCCTCGTGGAGTTCCAGGGTCGCACGCTGGGGGCGCTCGAGAAGCTAACGCAGAACCATATCCTTTGGGGCCGAGAGCCCGGGCTGGAGGGGAGGGGATGGGACCCCCGAAACCCCCATCGGCTTCCTTAACTGCTCACTGGCCCAGCTGGCGGCGCGCCTGGAGGATCTGGAGAACCAGCTGGCCAGCCAGAAGTGAGGGCCGCCGGTGGCTCGGAGCCGGGCAGGGACGCGGCCCTGCGGACTGGGTCCCCCGTGTGCCGTCGGGGCGCCGGGGCCGGGCAACACCGGGACCCCGGGGGCTTGGGCTGGCGGGGAGGGGGCGCTGGCGGGCTCCCAGCGCTGCGCTCGAGCTGGCCTCGCCTGGACCAGAAGCCGGACTGCGGCGGACGGAGGCGCGAGCTAGCTCCGCACGCCGTCGCTTTGTGCTGTGCTCAGTTCTTTGTTGGGTTTCCTTTTTGTTTTCTTTTTCTTAAAAAAAAAAATAAATAAAAATAAAAAAAATTTTTTTTTTTCCACGGGGTCGGTTTGTGGGTCTTGCTCTGCCGCCAGAGGGAGGGGAGGACAGACGGAGCGCGCTCCGGAGGCGCCCGGGCGGCGTCTCCTCGGAGAAAGGCGCTTTGTGCGGGGGGGTCGACCTGGGGGGCAGGGGGCCGGGCGCTGCTTCCCCCTCCTTGTTTATTCAGCCGCGAACAGACGGCTCCTTATGCGCGCTGCGGGAAGGGAGGGGGCTCGGCGCGAACCCTCGGGGTCTGAACGAGACTGCGCCCCTCCATCCCCCCCCACCCCCCCGCCCCCGAGGCTCCAGCGCTTCGCTCTCTGGTCTTGCGTATCTCATGGTGCCCCCAGATCGGGCTGAAAAGCTGCTAGAATTGGGCCAGGGGGTTGGCGAGGAAGCGAGAGGCAGTCATTGAACCCCCTAAATGGACGGGGAGGGGGCGTATAGGTGAGTTTCACCTGGATTTTCTCTCCCTCCTGCACTACTTGGGGAGAAGAGGAGGTGTCAGCCAGGACCCCTGGCCAAGAGCTGCCTGTTCAGGGCTTCCTCTGCCCACCACTTCCAAAAATAAAACAAACAAAACCAAACAAACAAACAAACAAACAAAAAAACAAAACAAAGCCAACCCTCAATCAGGAAAGAACACAAAGCATGCCGTTTCCCAAGTGCATGTGAGAAACTGATTAAAATACTGCAGTCCTGGGTGCTTGTGGCCATTACTCTGGGTTTGTTTCCTTACCTGTAAAATGGGTCGTGAAATTATTACCCCCAAGGGTGGGGGTGAGAATGGAGGAAATTATTCTAAAGCATCTGACATTGTGCCTGGTACATGTTAGGCCCTCAATTAATGGTAGCTATTAATCTTATGTTAATATTGTATTTAGTCTTGGGCATTATTCTAAGTGATTTGCAGGTGTTTTCATTTTGCCCTCAAACAACCTTATGAGGTAGGAATTATTGCCTTTATCATCCCCATTTTATAGATAAGGAAACTGGGGCATAGAGAGGTTAAGTAAGTTTTCCAAAGTCACAAAACGAGTAAGCAGAATCAGGGTGTATTAGTTTCCTGTGGCTGCTGTAACAATTACCAAATTCAGTGGCTTTACACAACAACACATTTATTACCTTATATATTTTTTAGTTTATTTTGAGAGAGCACTTGCATGCGCATGAGTGGGAGAGGGGCAGAGAGAGAGGGAGAGAATCCCAAGCAGACTCCAAGCTGTTAGGATTCCACAAACTGTGAGATCATGACCTGAGCCAAAATCAAGAGTCCGATGTTTGACTGAGTCACCGACACCCCCAAATTTATTACCTTATGGTTCGGGAGGTCAGAAGTCTAAAATTGGCTGGCAGGGCTGCATTTCTTCTGAAGGCTTCTGTTTTCGTGCAGCTTCTAGAGGCTGCATAATTTCCTTGGCTTGTGGCTTCGTGTCACCTCCACCTCTCCTTCTGGCGTCACATCTCCTTCTCTGACTCTGACCCTCCTGTCTCCATTTTACAAGGACCCTTGATTATATTGGGCTGCCTCAGATAATCCACACCAGCCTCCCCATCTCCAGCTCAAACTTCATCACATCTGCAAAATCCCTTGCCACATCAGGTGACAGATTCACATGTTCCAGAGACTGGAATGTGGACATCTTTGGGGGTCCATTATTGGGCCTACACACAGGTCTGAAGCCCCACAGATTGGCCTCAGAGCAGAGCTCCGAAGCACTTCTGTGCCTGACACCTTGCTAGGCTTGAAGAAGGAGAAACGTAATTGAGAAAAACCCCTGAGGTTTTTATCGCCTCTGAGGTGGGGGAGCTCAGGGCTGAGAGGGTGAGGTGCACCTGGCTATAACCGCCTCAGGAAGAGGGACCTTCAGGTGAGAAAGGAGTAGGTGCGTAAAGGGCAGGTAAGCAGGGAGGAATCCTAGAGGAGGAGACCTTTGAGCCTAGACTTAAAGCGTGGCTGGAGTTTCTGTGTGGCGTGATTGTGTGTGGCCAGGAGTGACTGGAGTATCGGGGAGCAGGATGATTGAGCTCTTACCCACACATGAGCCCAAGTGCCAAGCACAGTGCCTGGCATGCTACCTCATCGGCCCGCTAGGCCTGGAGGACAGATTTGCCCGCCCAGGATCCCACAGTGAGAGAACCCCAGTTGGATCAGGCAGCAGCCTGGGTGGGGGGGATCTGATTAGGACCGGGTCCTCAACTGATGGGGGGAGCTCTGAAGGCAAAGGGCGCCTTCCTCCTTCCCTCCTCCCCAGCATGGCAGGTACTGACAGCTCTGGCCTTTTTTTCTCACCAGCTCTTTCCTCCCGCAGTCTCCCCAGCTGCCACTGGATGGCGCCTGGAGCCCTGATTTGGAGTTAGGTTCCAGAGCCCTAACAGGCACTTGGCACCCTGCATTTGGACTGATGAGCCAGGCCTGCCCTTCTCCATAAGATCCTCCTTTCCTATCATGCCCCTACCCCACTCTGGAAGACCCGGCACCCTAGCCTAGAAGCCGCTTCTATTCCTTAGGCATTGGCCATACACCCCTGGCTTTGCAGACCAGACCTGCTACTTACCAGCTGTGCATCCATGTTGACAAGTGCTGGCTCCCTTGTCCATCTTCCAACTCGCTCCCTCTCTTATTTCCCTTTCCTCTTATTCCTTTTGTCCTTTTGGATAAGAAAAACGTCCCACATATGGGTAGCTTGCCCTTGTTTCTTTGTTGGCCTCCTTTTCCTTCAATGGACAGAAGACTTATAAAGGGTTCATCAGTTCAGCAAAACAAACATCCATCAACCCAAGAACAGAAAGTAAGAAGCCAAGTTAACAGTGGAGGGAGGGGAACACTGCCCGGCAAGCTTAGGTCGAGAGAACACACGGAGGGAGACTGAGCAGAGCCTGGTCTTTCTGGAGTCCGGGCGAGCAGGCAAGTTGTGTATCTGGTAAGACTGGGCACAGGCAATTATGTTTTGGGGGACGCTTGAGCCCTGGTCTCCTGGAGGGAACTTGGCACCCTCAGCCTCCTTGGTTCCCTGGAGATTTGAACATTTAAAAAGTGGCTGACCGAGATGTGACTCAAGGAGCTGTTTCTTATCCTTGGTAACATGCACTAGACGTGGTCTGGGATGGGAAAGCCAAGGGCAGGAAGAGCCTGTAGTCTCAGCCAGTCACCCTGACTCCTTTCTGAATTTCACCTCTCTGCGTTCTCTGTTTCTCCATGATTTTTGGCATTTCCATCCTTCTATTCTGTCTCCAAGCTCTCTCTTCTCCGTGTCTTCAGTTGGCAAAGCTGCTCTTTCTGAGGGTTATCTCATCTTCTGGATCTTTGGACCCAAGATAGTCAGAAAAGGGAGAGAAGAAAATTATCGATCACAAAACACCTACAGTGTGCCAGGGACAATGCTACGCCTTACATCTTCTTGTTTAAACCCCTCAACCTACAGGAGGGAAAACAGGTTCGAAGAGGCCAGTTGTCAAGGTCACAGAGCTTCAACGCTAGGATTTGCACCCAGGGGTCCCTGATCCCAGAGTGGGCCCCTTTCTCATTTCTACCCTTCAAGTTATCAGGGACAGGGTTGAACTTTTTTCCAAGAAACTCTGACTGGGAAACTTAAGAGGCAGACAAAAGCAACACCCAAAGTGTGGAAGGGAAGAGGGGGCAGGGTGGTGGCTCTTTGTTCAGGGACATCTCAAACACATTTAAAACTCCCAAGTCTGTGAGGCAACTGTTCATTACGCTCTTCGCCCTGCCCTGGGCAGCCCCCCACCCTCCACCTGCCCTCACGCCCCGCTCTGCCTTTCCCAAGTTGAAGGTGATTCTTTTTCCTGAAGTGAATATACCTTCTGGTGCTCCCCTGGGACTTCCCCCTCCCCGGCCAGGGGGCACAGGGCAGATGAAGTTTTCCCTGGCAGCTAAGCTGGGGGGTGAGGGTTCGTGGAGGGAACCAGCAGAGGAAAGTAATGATGGCATCACTAAAACACATCAAGGACAGCCAGATCCATTTTGTCCCAGAAGAACGAGAAAATCTCAGGGTGGCCTCTGTCCCCTGATAGAGGGCGACTATTCCTAATCTTGGCAGATGCTCAAAACATGCCTTCCCAGAGAGTATTTCTTGAATGTCTAGTTCAGAGACATGTTAGAGATTATGCTAGGCATTGGGGGTGCAATGGTTAAAAAAAAGAGGGTCACATTCCTTGTCTGCAACTTATGTTGTAGGAGGGAAAAGCAGACAACAAGTAAGTGAATAAAGATTCAAATAGTGATAAATACTAGAAAGTTGCTAAAATAAAGGTAGGAACAGTGCTGTCCAAAAGAATTTCTGTGATGATGGGGCTGTTCTGTATCTTCACTGTCCAATATTAGTGGCCAACATGTGGCTAACGAGCCCTGGAAATGTGGCTAATGAGGCCGAGGAACTGAATTTTACAAATCTCTCTCTCTTTTTTTTAATGTTTCTTTTTTAGAGGGAGACAGAGCAGGGGAGGAGCAGAGAGAGGGAGACACAGAATCAGAAGCAGGCTCCAGGCTGTGAGCTGTCAGCACAGAGCCTGATGCGGGTCTGGAACTCATGAACCATGAGATCACGAACTGAGCCAAAGTCAGACGCTCAACCGACTGAGCCACCCAGGTGCCCCTGAGGAACTGACTTTTAAATATCGTCTTATTTCATGAATTTGTGAATTAAGTAAAAGTTAAACAGCCCCCTGTGGTTATTGGC